CACATCTGTTGCTCCACATAGCTTGCTCAACATAGGCCACGCGAGTGCACCACATAGGTTTCTCCACAGAAATGGCTCCACATATGAGTTGCGCAATCTTTTTTCTAGACACACACGCACTGTATTGGATCGACGCTGGCGAGCATATATATATACATATATACATACATACATACATACATACATACATACATACATACATACATACAGACATACATACATATACACATATATATATATATGTATGTATATATATATATACACGTGCGTGCATGGGTGGGAACTATAAATACGTATATATAGGGTGACCCAAATCCGCCCATCGGGCACGAAAGCGATAACATGGAGAAGGCCGCACCAGTACCCCCAGAAAACGCGCCTGCCCCCCGAAGGGCAGCCTTCTCGCCGCCAGGGGGGGCAGGATCTGCCTACCCACCGCACGCGCGCGCGCGACGCGCACGCCACAGCGGCGCACGACCACCACGCTGACAACCGCGGGACCGCCTCGGGGCGAGCACGCTGCAGCCACGAGGAGCCTCCGCACCGGACCACCGCGCGGGAAGCGAACGCAGGACGAGAGCCTCGCCATCGCTCGGATGGCCATTCCGCGTGCATTGTTCGTTGTCGTGCATGTTTTCTGTGCTCGACGATCCAGGATGCTCCTCGATGGTCCTCGCCGAAAGGAAACATGCACACGCTCGAGCGATGCCGAGGAGCAGGACAACCGGGGGAGGAACGCCGACCTGGCTCGACGTGGCCCGGGCAAGCACAGTATCCCTCTCTCTCGCAGGCCTGCTGTGGCCGTAGGAGGGACACAGTGGCTGGTGGCACTCCCTTTTCAAAAACGCTCGTCCTCTCTCTCTCTCTCTCTCGCTCTCACTCTCTCGCTCTTCTTCCCTGGCTCTTGTCATGGGGCTCTGGTGGCATCGGAGGGATGAAATCTAAACTACACTTGAAAATCAAGAACCACAAGGATCCCGGGGAGGTACGTTTCAGAACGACCCACAACTCCACTGAAGAGCCCGATGGAAGGAGCCATGAGTTGGATATGTATATCGTCACTGCTGAAGTCCAGCCTCCGTGGGTGACGGCACATGTTACGCAACAGTGCCCAGTTCCTGGACCAGCTGAGGCAATTGTACGCCGAAGAGGACGACACGTTTCTCTGGACGCCCGGAATGGGAACGGAACAAAAATGGGTACAATGACCAACAACAAATGTTGTCCCAAGCCAACAGCGGCCGCTGTTGGACAGGCGTCCTTCTTTCTCAAGTGGACACAGGCCGCGGCGGCGCGGACAGCGAGTCCTGTTCAAAATAAGCAGGAACTGCCGTTGGGCATTATACCAATTCTTTCCGTACCCACTTCGTTCATGCCGAGTTTCTGAGTACTGACATCACATAGTAATGCATGTCTGGCAACCATACTGAGCTCAGACGTCCAAGCTCTTGGGCCGTGAATGAACCAAGCAACTAGTGTCCGCAGTCCCGGTCAACCAGATTCTTTCGGTCATCGGCATCCGTGGAAAGCTCTGGTCGATCGGGCTGGGGACAGGTGCGGGGCTTCAGACTTCGTGGGGAAGTCAACGATGCAAGGTTTCATCGCGTGGTTGAGGTAGATACTACTTTTAGCGTGGATGTCTGCGACCTTCATCGGATCAAATACTGGGGCAAATCCAAAGATGATATCTGGACAATGTTCCGGGGAACGAGGCCCACTGAGCAAATCAACTCTCTCATGGTGGCCCTCCAGCAGAGGAGCCAGATGTTCAAACTAGGCATAGAACGCACCACACAGTACAGCGTGATCATGCTTGATGCTGTCCTGTTCCAAAGGGTACTTCGGCAGCAATATAGGATATTTGACCGCATGGCCCACAGAAAGAAAACGAGCTGGTACATACCACTCCGTGCCAGTAGTGCCCACCCGATCTCTTGCCACCTACAGCCGGGGCCCTGAAGAAGGAACCCTTTTCGTTGGGGAGGGGCTCCGCGTTCCTTACGTGTTTCGCAGCTTGCCTCAGGTTTCCCTTGTGTCTTCGATCGGACATCGAAGTTTCACTTGTGGAAAAAAGGGGCCTCGTTCCTGATTTTGGGTTCCTGAGGTCCAAGCCCCGACTGTAGCGTGGCCCGTCGGCATGATTCACCGGAATTCCCGAGTTTGCAGCCGTGGAAAAGTCTGCGCGGAACTCCCCGCTGCTGACCCTGCAAGATCGGTGCACTCCTCCTCCGGCCTGCCTGCTCCGAGCTCGAACCCCAGGAGGCAAAAGGGCCTCTCCGAGCAGCTCTGGCCGAGCGAGAACTTCCTCTCTAAGTATCCCCTACTTTTTGGGCGCCCGAGTTGTCCGGGGGTAACTCGGGTCCGGGGCAAGTCGGGTTCGGATTCCCGAAAAAGGAACCCGGGTTAGCCCTGACCCGAGTTACCCCTGATGACTCGGGGCTCTGGACGCCCGAGTTATCCGGGGTAACTCGGGTCCGGGGTAAGTCGGGTTCGGATTCCCGAAAAAGGAACCCGAGTTAGCCCTGACCCGAGTTACCCCTGATGACTCGGGGCTCTGAACTTTGCTGGGCGGGAGGCTGCGCCATTCAGCACAGTGCTTCGACCCAGCAAGGAGGAACATCCGATGTGCCCTCATGTCAGACTGAGCTTCAGGCGGTCTGGCGAACATCCAATTCACCGCCTTGTGAGCTCGAATCGTGTTCACGACGGAGCGAAGCATGACATTCCCATCTTGCGATGTGCAGTGTATGGAGGCTGGATGGGATAGGATGGGGACGGTTCTCTTTTTCCTCAGGTGCGGGAGCGCACGAGTCCACAAGTGTGTAGGTCCAGAACACTCAGCCAGAGCGAGGTTAGTCCGGGATTGTGGATTTCCCTGGGGCCAAGATGAGCACGTAGGAAAACATCCCTTGCAAGATCCCCGTGCGTTGTTCGTTTTCGTGCATGTTTTTTTGGTTTGCTCGATGATCCAGGATGTTTCTCGATGGTCGTCGC